CCACCAGGATCCACAGATCCCATCAGGATCCACAGGAGATCCCACCAGGACACACGGATCCCACCAGGACACATTCCCAGATAATTCCCCTTCCCACCGTGGGCGTGGGGAGGTTGTTCCCAGTTCAGTTCCCCTTTCCCTCGGGATGGGCTTTTCCAGATGCCGGGATGGGCTTTTCCAGTCGTTCCTTGGCCTCCCGGGGAGGGATCAGGCCGTGGAATTCCGGTCGGAGCTCAGCTCCATCCTCCACATGGATTCAAATCCGTGATCTCCAGCGATCCCGAGCCCTGGTTGGAATCAGGGATTTTGGGATCAAGGGAAGCGATGCCAAGGCAGGGAAAGGTTTTTCCAGGCAGGATCCTCAAACCAGCAGCAGCAACGTGTTTCCAACCAATCCCAGCTCCCCTCACTTCCAGCTTTAAGCCATTTCCAAGAAAACCTTGGGAATGTCGATCCGGGAGGCAAAACCAGCCCGGCCCTGCCCGGAACCTCCAGGAAAAGAGAGGCTGCTCGTCCCAAATTCCAGCCCAGAGGAATCCTGGTTCTCTGTCCCTCGGGATTCTCCAGGATAAAGTTCCTTGGATTTATGTCCCGGGGTGTTTCCCGAGCCATTATCCCGTTTTTCCCAGGGACAGAGATCTGGGATAACAACCACCTCAGGCCCACGCTAATTAACGGCTCCGTGACTAATTGTGGAATTAAATATTCCATAAACATCCCCACGAGGGAAAACCCTCGGAGCGAATCCTCGTCGCCGCCTCTCGGGATAAAAAACCGTGGAATTAAGAAAAAAGCAGGGGAAAAAAACCAACATGGAAAGGAGCAAGTGGTGAATTCGATGGAGCTGAGCGTGCCCTGGGTGATGATTCCTGATTTCCAGGCAGGAGTTTCTCCAAGGAGAAGAGTTTGCCTTCTGGGAACGAGGAATTATTGCAATTAAATCAATATATGGCCCGCAAGGCTGGGGGTTAAACAGCCTCCAAAACCTCAACAGACATGGAATTCAAAACACCAAGGTTGCTTTTCCCACTTCCGTACCTTTTAAAAATCCCAAATAACCCGAAACTCTCAGAATTCCTTTGTTTTTATACCATAAAACGGGGAAAATCCACGATAAAACCCCTCTAAAGCCGCGCTGGGGGTTTGCTCCTTTCATAGTCCCGGGAGGCAAAGAGAAGATCCCTCATTAAGCAGCTCATTAATTCCATGAATCCAATGGAATCTTTCTCGGGAATAACTCAGAGGTGCCTGAACTCTTCCAAGTTGTTGCTCCAGACTCGCTCGGCAAAGAGCCCCCAGGCTGATTTAACACTCATTTAAGGGGATTTTAATCCTGGGTTTTATTCCCAAAGAACAGCGAAAACGCTGGAAAAGGATCTAAAAACTTGATGGAGGAGATGTCAGAGAGCTCAGACTCCCACCTTGGCCACGGGTTGTATCCATGAATTCTGAAGGATCTCTGTCCATGGGTTATATCCACGAATTCTGAAGGATCTGTGTCCATGGGTTATATCCATGAATTCTGAAGGATCTGTGTCCATGGGTTGTATCCATGAA